AGGCAAACCAACCCATGGTGTAAAGAATTACAAGACCACCAGGAAAATAGGCAAACTGACTGCAATCCCATGATGTTATAGTATTATCGTTCAGTGTTTTAGGTATAGTAATGAAATTGTGACTGAAGAAGGAAGGAAAGAGGAGGGAGGGAGGGAGAGAGGGAGGGGCAGTAAGCCTTCATCTTTTGCCATATATACTGAACTCTTTACAGATGAAGTTATATAATGTCTGGGGCTTGCTGCAAAATAACTCCGCGTGGAGGGGCGTAGATAAAATATGATTGGTCACATAATGGCAACTGTTGTAGCTGGGTGATGAGTGTTTGGGGGTTTCTTATACTACACATAAGCTGGAAATTTTCCATTTTATATATGTATATATATATATATATATATATATATAAATTTTTTTTTTTAAGAGGCAGGAGAGAAAGAAGGCAGGAAGGAGAGAAAAAGGAACACAGGTGAGTCGAGCAAAAGGGATGAGAGAGAACAGGGAATGGAAAGAGGGCAATGAAAGGGAAGAAAGATGAAGAGAAAGTGACAGGAACAGAAGCATGGCGATCTGTGCAGAGGGTGCAAGTGCCATGAACCCCTCAGTGGCCTTCCTGCTTCAAGCCAGCTGTGTGGCATTGATGGCACCAAATGCCTGTCCCGGTAAGAATTCTGATGGCGCCCAGTTCTGAGGTGCCTCTTCCGCTGTCCTAGGACAGCCACGCTCTGCATCCCTCCTCGCCCACACGCCCGTGGGGAAGGGTGCGAGGGCACGTTTAGAGTTTGTTTCAGAGGATGGCTGCCTACAGGGGCAGAAACTCCTGTGTTTCTCTGGCCCTCACATGGGCAGAGCTGTCAGTCTTGTTACTGGGCATCAACATGTACAGAAGACCGAACACAAGAACACCAGGAGGAAACCAGACACAAGGACATAAAGTCCAATGAAATGAGGGTAAATAAAACCTCCTCAGCGCTCCACAGTAAAGACACTCAGCAAACAGTCAACTCGTGATTACGCCAGTAAAGGAGAACAAGTTGAATTCATCCAACTATCATTTATGCCCAATCCTGGAACGTTTCCATTTTGGTTTGTTTTGATTTTACACTGCAGTATGAGTGTTTGGGGGTTGCTCAGCCAGCACCACAAACAACTGATGAAGCCCTCTTCTGGCAGGTTCCACAGGCATCATGTTCCGTCCTACCTGGTTGGGACTTAATTTTCCTCCTTATACTTTCTGACTTTGAAGGGAACTCCTAGGGACCGTTCCCGAAACAATTATCCTGATGATTCCTGATAAAAATGAGGGCCTAGAGTCTCCTTCAATCGAGATGCATAGCTGAGGCCTGGTCTAGAACCAGCTCAGGCACCAGAGACAGAGGTGAGAAGATAGAGACCGAAGTCAGAGACCTACCTGCCTCAATGGGCCACACGAAACAACTTAGAAGCTACCGCTATCATTTGTCACAAGGAACCCATTAGACCATTCCCTAGGACCGGTTCATGATCACCAGGGCCTTAACCTGAACCCACGAGAGTCAAATGGAGTCCAGACCTTCTCCTCAGGCTGCTAATTACTCCACAAGGTGAGTGTCCCGAAGAAACACCTCTCTCTCTCCCCGCCCCCCCACCTCTCTCTCATTGCAGTTTGAAATTTTATTTCCTCTTTACTCTTCCCTCAGTAGATGTTCAGTTACTCACATTCAGTTTTCAGTTTCTTACTTTCCATCTTCTCAATATGCTACAAGCTGTTTGGAGAATAACATCTAAAAAAGTGAACCAGTGCTGTGCTAAAAGTCATCATTTGAAAATCACTCTGGCTCACCAGAAATGCATTAATTCCAGAAGTGTAGAATTTTTTTTTTAATCTAGAGAATTAAGCCCTTTATGAAAGAAGGAGGCGAATGCAACTACAGGGCTGGACCATTTCTGCAGGGATTCCCGCTCCATGAGGGATTCCCGCAGAATGAGGCTGTGACCCAGGTTTTAACATTGGCTTTCTCCATCTGAGAAAGATAACATTCTGTGCCATCTTATTTATAAAATATTCTTCTAATTGTCGGCTAGCCATCTGTTGAATTATCTGTTTTTTCTGAGGCTTTAGGAATGTTACCTTGCAAAGAGCACAGATTCGCCTCATCAATTAAATAAACCAGCCCTCTGCCTCCTCGCTTTGCTGTTCCGTATGACCAGATTATCAAGGTTTCATCGAAAAGCACTGTGGACTTCTGGGCACGAGGGCACCAAGAACACGTGCATCTAAACTTGTCATTACTCTCATTAAAATGACCAACAGAATTTAAAGATGGGGATTAAGAGGACTGCACCACTGACCACAACAGAAGGTGCCACCGACATGCCAGAAATGTCAAGGAAATTTGGCGGGTGGGACCAGATTGAAGAAAAAGACCGTAAGCCAAACAGCATCTCCCCCTCTTAAGAACAGGCTGAGTACTAGGGCTCTAGCACCCCTACTCTGAAGGGCAAGGCCCAGGGGGGACAGTGGGCTATGGGGCAGATGGACAGTCCATAAACCGGACACCTCTGGCTGTGGTGGCTCAGCAGCACTCAAGCAATCACATTCAGGGGGTATCTGATGCCACAACTCATAAGTGCTCTATCAGACCAAAGATGAGACCATAGAGAATGATGCACCAGGAGCAGTGGGTTCCCCAAACCCAGACAGAAATGAACGATGCAGAGACGATGACCAAGCTTCCGCTCCCCTCTTCTCAGACCGACGGATCTCTAACCTGATAGACTAGTTAGCCCACTAAGGAAACAGGGATAAAAATCCACAAGGCGTCTACGAAGAGATTCTGAAACAAACAAGGAGAACACAGCATTCCAAACTGGTGAAAACGGTTTATTAATAGGAAGCAAAAATAATTTTCAAGAGCATCTCCTTATATTCTCAAGAAAATTTCTGACCTTACATGGTCTGTGAAGATGAGATAACAAAATAAGTAGAAAAAAAAGCATCTGGCCAAGAGGCTTGAGAAAGAACACGGGAACTGAATGAGATAAGGAAAAAGAATAGCAAATCTAAAAATACAATAGCAAAATTAATATTTGCATTAGAAACCATACACAGCAACACTGATTCTACAGAAATTGAATCAGTGATGTGGAAAGCCAACATGAGAAGTTCTTCCAAAGGAAAAGATCAAAGTCGTGAGAAGATGATTAAAATGGAGGACAGGGGAGAGCGCACACACCCAAAGGCAGTGTTCTCAAGGAGAACTGCCCCAGGAAAGACCCACAACTGGGGATTGACAGGTGAAATTAAAGCTATGAAAGTCACTTTGTCAAAGGATATTTAATAAAATGGGAAAATGTTCAATAGTAGGTAAAAAAAAAAGGAAGATAAAAACTATGCATTATGAATTCAATTTTAAGAAAGTAAATTACATAGATGTTTATAATTCCAGAATCAAAGACTGCAAAGAACCATCCCAGGATTTCAAGTTTGGTGCCCTGACTTGTGTTCTTCTTTATACTTTTCTATATTTTCTAATCTTTTAGGATAATCAGGAAATTTTTCCATTAACTTTTGAGCCACTTTGGTTTATGTTTCTGTGCAGGACTAGGCTAGTTATCATCCTAGAGAGTTAACAAGTCCACCTTTGTCCTCAAAGAATCTGCAATTTCATCTCCGCAATGCTCCAGGCAAGACTCAGTTCTCTTGGCCTCAGGCTGAATGTCATTCTCTATTAGTGACTCTCTACTGCAGCAGTTCTCAACCTGTGGGTCGCGACCCCTTTGGGGGTCGAACGACCCTTTCACAGGGGTCGCCTAAGACCATCGGAAAACAAAAAGATATTTACATTACGATTCATAACAGTAGCAAAATTACAGTGATAGAGTAGCAACGAAAATAATTTTATGGTTGGGGGTCACCACAACATGAGGAACTGTATTAAGGGGTCGCGGCATTAGGAAGGTTGAGAACCGCTGCACTACTGGCACCTCAGGACAACTTGACCCACATGACAGGACTTTTTCACGCCTCCGACAAATGAAACACTGGTGACCTTGCAAGTAAGTGGTAGAAATGGTATCAGTGGTGCAATTGGAACTTGATTCGGCCCATGAACTAATCTAAAGAAGCTCCAAAAAAAAAAAATCATGGATTGTTTAAATGTATTTGACTTTTGCTCTTTTGCACTGTGCTCATCAAATTTCAATCATTTAAGAAATTGTTAGGAAGGAAAAGAAGACCCTATTTGAGTGTGTTCCAGGTGCTTCTTCTGAGTAAAAGGATGTGAACTTGAACTTGACAGGCCCAGCAATGAAAACCCCAATCATTTTGCAGAGTAAATGGGATGTGAAGACAAATCATGACATTGGAAGGGCCCTTCATCGAGGGGCCAAGCAGCAGTCCATCTCACCTCATGGGCCCCCATCAGTGTCTAAGGGGTGAGCCTTTGGCCAGCGTTTTGGGGAGCTCAGCCATACTTACGTGAGTGTCCCTGACACCCAGAGGGGATTCACTGAACTCCTCCCGGTATGGAATTCTCTAGTGAATACACAGTTTTGTGACAGAATCACTATGGGCTCTTATGAGCCTCAATTCCAAACTTGGAACTGAAGGTAAAGATTAATAAATGGTCAACTTTTAACACCCAATCATCTAAAAGGGCCAGATGGGTTGAGAGTTCATCACTTCTCCATAGATTCTAGTCATGTTTTTAAACTATTGCTGAGAACAGCAGGAATCATTTTGTAAAGCTTTTGCCACACATAAATCAGAGCCAACTGTGAAGTTAAAGAAGAAGTTAACACTCTTAGCTCAATCCCACAGAAAATTACTTGTTTGTAGGTAAATTATCCACCGGGGATACTTTCATATTCATTGAGTGCTAACCCGTTCCTCCTGCTTTCCACCTCACTCCCTTATCTTCTCCCAACCCAAAGAGGATGCACATGAAGTTAGATGTGCCCAGTCCCCCATGCAACCAGGACTGTCACTAAAATCAAGACCTTCCCGGAAAAAGGGTTGACTTACCCTATCCCAGCTGAAACACAGGCCCAGTCGATCCAGCTGTTTCCGCATGTATTTAATATTACTGTGAAACAAAAGGAAGAAAGTTTGGTTTTTAGAAAGGGGGGGTGAAGCCAGAAACAAACTACATTTGAGAATGTGAAGGGAAGATGGAAAATGAATCACTAAGAATCAACGAAAATGCCTGCATCTTAGAAGACACCTATTCTTTGGACTCAGACAGAATCTAGTAGAAACCATAATGGTCTTTGGCCCTGGGGATGAGCTCTTCCTCTGTCCATTCAGAAAGGCCACTCCTTAGTATGTGCACTCCCGGCCCATCCATACGTCCGTATCCTGCACAGATCTGAGCCACGCATTTACAAGTTCAAAATCCACTGAAGAGAAAAAGCTTAACATGCAAACTGTGGGAATCCAAAAGAAACCTGGTTTAGTGCTTTGTCAATCAAACCCTGAAGTCTAAAACCATCCAGTAATTGGGAAAGAGGGGGAGAAGTGAATTTATCAACTTTAATACAAAATGAGATAAGAAAATACATCATTTTTTCTTTTTGTTAAAGAAAAAGGGCTAATTCATTTCTACTGCCTCCTCTTTCCGTTCCAGCAGACTGAAAATATAAAAAGCCGTGAAAAAATCCTCTAAGTGATCTTTGATTAGCTAACAATATCTTATTTTATTCCAGGCCTTGTGCTAAGCATTTTTGCAGAAATGTGCTTTCTATAGACTGAATGTTTGTGTCCCCCCAGATTCATATGTTGAAACCTTCCCTCCAGTGTGATGGTATTTGGAGGTGGGGTCTTTGGGAGGCGATTAGGTACAGGATAGAGCCCTCATGAATGGGATTAGGGCCCTTAAAAAAGACCCCAGAAAGCTCCCTTGCCCCTTCCACCGTGTGAGGACACAGTGAGAAGAGCCATGAAGCGAGGCCTCACCAGACACCAAATCTGAAGGTGCCGTGGTCTTAAGACTTCCGAGCTTTTAGAACTGTGAGAAATAAATTTCTGTTGTTTATAAACCACCTGACTATGGTAATTTGTTATAGCAGCTGACTAAGACAGTGCTTCATCTTTATCCATTCATATGAGTTAGGAACTATGACTATCCCTCTTTTACAGGTAAGTAAATTGAGGCATAGAGAGGTTAAGTAATTTGCTCAAGGTGATTAGCTAGCAAGAAGGAAAGGCAGGATTTGCACCTCGGTGGCCTGGTTCAGGGGTCATCTTTTTAAATGCTACTCTCTAGTAGAGCAGGATGGGCAGTACTGGCCCACAGGCACATGGAAGCCTGGGGTACAGGAGGGCTTGGGAGTGTGCCCTTGGAGAAAGCCATGCCCAGAATAAATTGGCCATATATTTCTACAGCAAATGCCCAAGTCCCTCTTGCTTCGAAGTTGTAAGGGCAAAAAAGGAACAGAATTTTCAGAGAAAATTCTAATAATGTGGAATATGGATATAGCTCAAACTATGGTCAAGAAGATGAGAAGCACTGTAGAAATTTAACAAATGCAACCTTCTCCTCCTTCTTTCCTCCCAAATGCAAATACTCAAAGAAAGAAGAACTTTGTAAATAACAAAGCATCAAAATGAACACATGAATGAATACCCAAATCCCTCTTTGTGACTTCTTAGTAAAAGACAAACACTAGTATATACCGGGGGCGCCAAAAAAAATGACACATTTTAAGAGATGTTATCTATGTATTACTTTTTGAAGTTGAATTGAATTATGGTATCAATGTGTAAAGTATGATGTTCGGTCAAAAGATGGCCTTAATCAAATGGATGCTAGTGTCATTCATTGTATTGCAATTTTAATACAGCTTTTTCCTTTCTTAAAATGTGCATACATTTTTTTGGCATCCTCTGTATACAACACTTGGCAGGCCACAGTGTTCTGTTTGCTTTGCTTTCTATTTCTCATGCACAGATTTTTTTTTTTTAATTTAAGGTTTCTGTATATAGGTGTTTGAATCTGCCTGCAAATACATACCTTCGTGTCCAACTTTCTGGATGTAGATTCCTCTCAATCGCAGCATTTTCGGCAGGCAGTCCAAATGCATCCCATCCCATGGGGTTGATGACCTAGAACCCAGACAAGAAATATCAGGCACAGCAGACTGCTAAGAGCTATGTCTGTATTCTCTTCTGGGCCATAAACAGGCATTTCCTCCTACTAATTTGTCTTATCCTTTTCTGGATGATTTTAAAATGTGGTTTTGAAAGCCAGCTGGCTATCTTTGCCGTAATTTAGAAGGTTATGCACCAAGGCACCAACAGCAATTATCTCTGAGTAGGTGTTTTCATGACTATTTTTTATTTTCTTCTTCTTGTCTGTATTGTCTCTAATGAACCTGAACTGTTTTTCTGAAATTATAAAAAGTTTTTTTCGGGGCCGGCCGCGTGGCTCAGTTGGTTAAGAGTTGGCTTGGGAGTGCGAGCTCTGAGCAGCAGGGCCCCAGTTCAGATCCCACATGAGGGACAGTGACACTGCGCCCTCTGCAGCTAAGATGGTGAACAACAGCTCAACCTGGAGCTGGGCTGCCGTGAGTCGCTGTGAGGAGTCGGTGTAGGCTGCAGCCCCTGCTGCAGTGGGCTGCTGTGAGCTACTATGAGTGGCTGGCAGTCAGTGTGAGGAGCCAGCAGCTGGCAAGAGCTGCCGTGAGCCACCTAAGTGGCCGTCCAGAGGCCGG